AAAAAAACCCCCCCCCAGCCATATCTCAAAACCTGTGCAGGGCTGTCAATTCTGTCTACAGAGACAGATAGGAGGAAAAAAAAAAAGAGAAGGAACATAAATTGGTGCAGTCTTTTATCAGTGTTAGCTTGATTAAAAAAAAAAAAAAAGCAAATAGTTAGGGCTTACTGCCAAAGTTCAGCTGCAACTTCATAAACATGGAACTATATTTGAAGATTTTTTTTATTTACTTTTTTTAATATTGAGAGAAGTCTTCTGGACAGAGGCACAATGGAAGAGAGTTGCCAATATCTCTCTGAAAATAATTTTTTGGGACACGTCTAAGTACTGCTGGCTTTGGTTAACATTGTTTACCTGCTTTGGATCCACTGGCTGCAGTGGATCAATACTCCCAAACCACTGGTAACATTTTTAGCCTTATTTTGTCCAGGGATGCTAGCCTATTTCTGGAATATCCTTTCAAATTGTACAGTTATATCAGGGAAAAACCAGTACCACCAATACTGAACACTGGAACTGAAACCAGCACAGCAAAGCTAGACAGCAGAAGTGGAAAGCGATCTTATGTGGTGTGGTTACTGGGATGAGATTGCCTGGCTGCAGGCAGAGATGATCTTTACTCATAGTTACATTTGCAGGTGGAAAAGAGGAAGCCAAGATACAGAAACGGGAAGCCAATCCCACTGCCATGGAAGATACTGTCGTCTCAGCAACCCCATTTTGAAACAAAATGATTCTAAATATATAGACAGTGTTCTTAACAGTGATATTCCCTCATAGCCCTTCAGTCACACCACTGGACTGAGATTTCCCATTTCGTGGTTAGGCACGTGGTATCTCAGACAACAAAGCCCACAATGAAGGTTAAGGTTGATTTCCTGAAGCCACACAGTCTCTAAAATCTTCCTTTTGTAAAGTCTTTCCAGGTATCATCTTGCTCTGTCTTAATCAACCCTCTCCAATTGTAAAAAACTTCTCTTCATATATCTCCCAGTAAGCAGAAAACCAATAGGTTTCCAACCTTGCATTCAGCATTGAAACTCTAACTGCTGTCAGCAAATACAGTATCATGACTAGTTTTTGCAGGGGAATCTCTTCATCATAGGAATCTACTTCTATGCCTTATGTGGCCCTCTCTTCCCAGAGAGTTCACAAGGTAAACAGAGAAAAAGCAGCGGACACATTCACAGTTACAAAGCAAGTTTATGGCAAAGCAGAGAACTGGCGATCAGCTTCCTGAGCTCCAGTCCAGCAGCTAAATACAAAACCCATCTATCTTTCACTGACAGGACAGCTCAGCAGAACAACCCTGCCTCCACACTAATACTTCTTATCCCTGGTTGTTAGCAAGGAGTTGGTCGCAGATCACACTGACTACATTAATTTCTTTTTTAAATGATAAAGATTCAGTTCTCTTTAGTAATCTTCTAGTTTATGAGCTTTACATGGGCAGAAGCCAGAAGACAAGTAAAGGCTCACACTTTGAAAGATTTTCTCTGCATCCACACAGGTCAGCAACTTTTATACGGTCTGTAACAACAGTGATGATGATAATCTCTAGAGCTGACGGCGCGGCTTACGTCGGCTTCCAAAGAGCCAGGGCAGCATCCTCAAACCTGCCAGCTCTTCTGAGAAATGAACAGCCCTAAATCTACACCAACGCTTTCTGGGTCAGAGGCTGAGATCTGAGCCCTAGTTATCACTCATTTCTGAAGGGAGGATACCCTCCTGTTAACCAGTCTCAACAGGGCATGTGTGTCTTTTTTTTTTTTTTTTTTACCGAAGTGCTACAAAATACATGACTCTGGCCTTGGAAGGCACCTGTTTCCTCCTGATTTATGGACCTTTCTGACATCTGGCAGAGCAATATCCAGTTTCTACAGCCTCTAACTTGAAGAACTCAAACAGTGCAAAGTAAAGGGGCTGCAAGAGCAAGCCTGTCCAAGAGGAGAGCGCAGCTGCTGAAGGGACGAACACTGCTGCTGACTCCGCTGGTTTTCCTTCTGCGCTCCAGAGTTTTCTCCTGATGAAGACCTTCATTGGCTAAGGAGGGAGGTGTCTGGTTAATCTGGTTTGGCCCAAAGTTGTCAGCTGCCAAGAAAATTAGCTTCCAGCTTGTTATGCAAAATGGAAACGAGGAAGGAGCTCTGCAAAACTGTGCGCAGCTCAGGGCGTGTTCCAATTAACCCGCCCTTTAAAACCCACTTCTTATGACAATTTTTTTCTTTTAAGCACCAACATTTAAAGTAGTATATTAGAAGCCTGAGTGATCTGTAAAGGAAGCCTCTGAATTTTAGGATAAGTCAGTCCCATCCCTCACTTGCCTTTCCTAAGGCAAACACCTATCCAAGGTGAGACTTGATGCTGGAAAGAGCGTCACATGTCACCTGTCATTGAGGAGGGACCATATATATCCTGCCTCTTAACCCCTGGAGGCATGATACTGGAGATCAGTAAAACTGATTCAAACTGACAATCCCTGTTTATACCTACTTTACAGAGCTAGAAATGACCATGCAATTGGCTGAGCAACAGAATAGTAGAGGGAACTGGAAGGTGAGCAAGG